AATTATATCTGTGATTTTATTCTTTTAACTTTCTCTTATCTTAGAAAATGAATTTTTTTTTCAGTTTTCTATTCTTCTTTTTCTTTTCAAGGATCGGAAGCAGCAGCTGTTACTGCTGTTAGACTTACAAAAAGACGTCGAATAGCATCCGATGTCAAACCAATTGAATTCAAAGTTGATCGTCCATTTCTTTTTATGATTCGAGAATTTAAAGAAAATATAACTTTATTTTCTGGGAAATTTTTATCACCACCTATATCATAGTGTGATTTTGTTTATGAAGCAATAAAACTTCTTTCTATAACTCATTAATCTTTTCATATTTTTCTTTTCGTATCGTCTTAAATGGATAATATTATTATTGTGTAAACGAAATAATTCCTTTTTTTTTTGAATGAGGTACAGAGGTCATAAGTATGAATTATACAAGGTCAAAAAATGAGATGTGTTATCTTGCATATGAGTCCACCATCTGATTAGTTGAGTTAGGCGATGAAACTTCCGTTCAATTTTCGCTTGAATTAGGTTCGGAAGCTGCTGCGGCTACGGTTGTTGTTATGAACAAAAAATCATTATCAATACGTCGAACACCTGATCCAATCGAATTCAAAGCTGATCATCCGTTTTTATTTTATATTCGAGAAACTCGACATAATTTCACGTTGTTTACTGGCAAATTTCATACATCTACAAATTTATCATCGTAATTTGTACTTCGATATTTGCTTTTATATAATTGACTAATAAATTACTTAAGAAAACTTTTTTTATAAATAATGCTCACGTTTCTTATACGTCAGGATCAAGAATTAGCATAATTTTTATGTTGACTGTTTGATATACATGATTGAAAATTCTTCGATGTTTCTTTATTTTTTATTATTTTTTTCTATCGTTCTATTTAGGATCAGAAGCAGCAGCAGCTACAGCAGTTGTCATGATGCGTTGTTGCGCATCAATTTCTCCAAAAACATCGCCTATTGAATTCAAAGCTGATCGACCATTTTTATTTTTCATTCGTGAAAATCGACAAAATATTGTTTTGTTCAGTGGCAAATTTGTTTCACCACCAACAGCATCATAAAAGAACTATTTCCATTTATTCTGTATCGCATATTCATGCATATTTTATCAATGGACGAAAATATATACGATAAATTGATGAACTTTTATTTGAATATTCATTTTTGAAAAATTTGAAGACAACATGTACTCATATATCATTAATAGATTAGAAAATAACTTGGATGATTTCTTCAACTTTTAGCTACAAGTATAATTTTGCCTGTCAACATCTAAATATCGATAATGTAAAAATGAAAATTTCAATCATATTATTATTCTCGCTACGATGACTGAATGGCTACTTTGCATAAAAACTTTGCGTCAGACGAGCTTTCTGTTCAGAGCTATAGCTAGTACTAGTTGTACGGAAGATATCGTGGTACTAAATCTGTCAATCATCAGTATCCGATGCTGCGAGATAGCGGAACGACATGCTATTCTTCTTTTCTTTCTATGATTCTCAAATGAAACACCGGCCTGAGAGACTTTTTCTAGAGTTTCTTGGCAGCGAAAAAAGACGCTGAACGACATTAATAACAAGACTTAGAAAGCTCTAGAATATTTCAAAGCCTTCGTCAAAATTTGAATTGCTGTTACACGTTTGCGAATGTTATAGATAGTGCAGTTTGTCAGTTAATGTTCAGATTAAACTCTATATTCAAGATGTGAATGATCATGATTAGTAATGCATTGTCATATGATCAACATAAAAAGCATGACTTGATTAAGTTATAACTTTGAAAAATAATCAATATCAATGTTTCTGAGTTGATTGAGATATATAATATTATGTTAAGACCTACTGCTGTAGATACAATGAATATTTACAACAACTTTATATGCTATTTAATTCAATACTTGTAATAACAACAACGTTAAAGAAGAAAAATAACAAGTGAATAGCAATCAGCGAAACAAAAAATTTCTGTTCGAAATGCAGAAATCAGATAGATCCTTACTCTCGTGAACGATTATCTTGGAAAATAACTAGTCTACAAGAAATTTTTTACTTGACGTGAGTTATCCAATTCAGTTCCAAAGAAACTGTGCTAACAAGTTTTTTTTGCACTGAATGGAAATATTTCATTTCGCTATATATTTTGTGACATTAAAAATCAGAAAATCGTTAAAATTTCTTGTACTACTTCTACTATGATTTTAAAATAATACTATTTTTCTATAATGACAAAGATTTTCTTTTCTTTATCTGTTCTTGTTTATAACCTTTGTTCTCAATTGGTCATATTAATGATGTATTTACCATTCAATAATGAGTATTTGTCGTGTTTTTTTTTCCTCCGACGAAAAGTACAAAAATATTTTATGGTAAAACAAGGATATAAACAAAAGCTATTAAATATAATTACTCCCCTATTTTTCTTTCATATACAGATAAAAAAAAACATGGCTTCATTGACTAAAGGTTTCGAACATTTTGATTCTAAACTATTTTCAACTATTAGTCAACAAAATGACTATCAAAATATATTTCTTTCATCAACAAGCATCGCTCTTGCCTTATCTATGTGTACTGTTGGTGCTCGACATGAAACATTACAACAAATGTTACAAGTACTCGAAGTATCATCAGAAGAAGAATTAATTCATATGGTTGAACAAATTATGCAAATGTTTTCATATGCTAATTCAAGTAAATTATCAACAAATCAATCTGCAAATGATTTATCATTACAAAACCGAAGATCTGCTATTGAATCGAATTTTACACCATTTCAACTTAAATTAGTTAATCATCTTTATACACAAAAAGGATATATAATACGAGAAAAATATTTAAATCTAATTCAAAAATCTTTTCAATCTGATATTAAATTGGAAGATTTTGAAAATGAAAGTGCTTATGTTGTTGGAAAAATAAATACATGGATAGAAGAACAAACAAATAAACAAATATGTGATATATTATCAACAAAAGACGTCACAAGTGATACACGACTTGTACTTATCAATTGTATATATTTCAAGGTAGATATTTCTTTGTTTTTACTGTACATTCTTTTATCATCGTATTGTTATTTGTTTATTTATTTTTTTAATATTTCTTTTGATAAATTTTTAGGGTGAATGGCAAGATAAATTTCAACAAACAAATACTAATAAAAATGCAGATTTTTATCATGCTAATGGTGTTACTTCAAAAATTGAATTAATGCATAAAAAAGAATCTTATCATTATATTGAAAACAGAGATTTACATGTTCAAATTGCTCATTTACCATATAAAAGTTCAGATCCATCTTTGAAATTTATTTTCACTGTTGTTTTACCATATGAAGGGATAGAATTAGATAAAGTCGAACAAAAATTAATGTCAACTCCAAAATTAAAACAACAAGTATTAAATATTGAAAATGCACCATTAACAGAACTTTTACTGTATTTACCAAAATTTAAATTAGAAACGAAATATGAATTAAAAGATATTCTTATCTCATTGGGAATGAAAGATGCATTTAGTGAACAAAAAGCAGATTTTAGAGGTATTTTTAGTAAAGTAAATGATGAAAATCGTATATGGATAAACAAAGTAAAGAATTTATTAATTAATGATACAATTGATTTTTTTATGCATATTTATGCTTTAGGTTATTCATAAAACATTTCTCATTGTCAATGAAAATGGTGAGTAGTTAAGTTTATGTATTTTTCTCTTTTTCTTAAGAAGAAGAGACGCGGAAAGACGTGTCAGATATTCTATGATTAAGTCCTAGAAGTCTTATGAAGTCTTTTGGTCTTTTGTGAATCACGATGTAAAAGGAGTGTTGAAGTACAGGGTAGAAATTGGAACGTTGCAGTCCTCTCTCCTCCACAGACTTGACAGACTTTATTGATATATAATCAAAGATCGTATATAAATAACATCTCATTATTATATATGAACTACTTCCTTATTGGATTTTCGGAGGATCAAGTATAAGAATGATTAAGAAATGTGCCCCAATATAGATAGAATAAAACAATCTTCCTGAGATCAGTTACATCGTGTTTCACATGGTAATTCTAGAGGCATATCGCTAACAGCTTTTAATATTTGTTAAAGTCTGCTCAAGGCTGGTAAAATCTGCAGTTTTCCCTCGTGACCTCAGTGTTCCGAAAGAAATATTATGAAATAAAATATATGTTAACGTTTACTGATTAATCCTATTTGAAACTAGTGGCGTAAACAGAAAAAAGTTGTAGGCGGACGTCAATTCACTGATCATGTCTATAGACAAGGCAGGGATCCTATGATAAGATTTCCATGAGAAGCTCATGCTCCTTTTTTAACTGAAATCCTATCGTTTGTAGAGGAGTGGAGAGGTTGAGCCTCCGTCTAGTTTTGTTACTATTTGAAACTAATATTAAAAGAAGAGATCACAATAATATAGAAATTCTGAGAAAAAGCCAGTCTCTGTTTTTTTTAATGAACCAGATGAATATATTGACAAACAATTTTGTTGTTGTTTTTCAAACAGAAAAAATTGAATCTGTATTTTCTCATTTGTACATTTTATCTAGGTACAGAAGCTACGGCTGCTGGAGTGGTCATGCTGAGACGTTATGGTTCTGCATTTAATAGTAGATCAACACAGATTGAATTCAAAGCTAATCGACCATTCTTATTTTTCATTCATGAAATTCAACATAATGTTGTTCTATTTAGTGGAAAATTTGTTTCACCATCAGCTCCGAATAATTAACTTATCGAATATTTCTATTACACTATTATTGAATACTGTTCTTATATTATGAAAGAACAATATTTGTGATTTTTTTTGTTCTAATATAAAATTAATATAAATAAAACTTGTTTAACAAAGAAAAACTTAGTACGGTTTCGGCTCACAAAGATCAAATGAAAACTCAAAGCTTATCTAGCATTGATGAATAATTAGAAAATTTATTTCCTTCATTTGAAGGACCATGCATATATCTATCGATAAAAACAACACGTAACTCTCTAGAATGAAGCATATTGAGAAAAACACAAAAGAGCTTTTTGCTTTTATATAGTTTTCCTAAATATATTACGTGTCAATTGAAGCATTTATCTATGTACATTAAATTTTCCTCGTACGAGATATATTACGATAGATGATGCGACTTTCCATTGTCTGATAAATCCTACTTTGTTCGAACAGAAAGATGTCGAGTACTGAAGTGTGAAAAAGATTCAAAGATAACAATGCCGACGTATTCAAACATCGAAATAATACATGTTATTGTTTAGTTAATGATAAAGGAATCGACATGTTTATTCCATTTATAGAATTTATATGCATAAGAAAAAAAACGTTTTTTACGAAGAGCAAAGTTGAGAAACAGGAAAACTTTAACGAAGGCCGGCATGGATACGTGAGAGAGAAGAGAATGCACTCACTCTCGTCTATACCTCCACCCTCGCTATACCTTACCAATTGGCTGATAATGTCATCTTCGTTTCAGTAATCGACTGTTTATGTTTCTATTTTCTACCCTAGTAATTTTAAATATCAGAACTATCGTAAAACATATTTCACCAATTTTACTTCCGATATGTTTTTTTTTATTCGAGACTTTAACATTTTGACATTAGTTGGATAAATTCATTGTCTGTATATTAGTTATATCATTCAACAACGTAATAAAGATCGAAGGGTTACAAATTAATTTTTTTTAAATTCATTTGTTGGCTTACAGTTGTTTTTAAAGACTGATAATGATAGTTAGTGTTAACTATTAACTTATAAGAAATATGATAGATCGTTTTATATAAAACATCTACTATGAAAGTATGGGTGAAGATCTACACTCACACCTTCAAGTCATTGGAGATCTCAAATTCGTATTTCTAAGATGGACAAGATTTGATTATCTCTGAAAAATATTTGTTTATTTTGTAGATCTAACTCTACAAAAAAGCTTTACTGATTGCACTAGACATCATTATTTGTTCAAATGGTTTCACAGATCATTCTTAAGAACCTTTGAGGACTAAAACTATGTTTATCTCAGTGATCATCTTTTTTTACAAAAATCGAATTTGTTTGAGGGAGAGTAGTCCTCTTAATTAATCAAATCAACTAATA